CAGCCCTCCCCTGCCCTCCCATTGCCAGCCACTGTAACTCAGGAGGCATTAACTGGCTCCTTTTAAACTCTGTCCAAGGCATGCCTCAACCAGGTCCAACAGAAGACCTTGGAAGCTCTTCTGGAAAATGAGTTCCATTTAGTCTTCTCTTTGCCCAGGCCCTGCTCCTCCCAGCTACCTGGAGCTTGTGGCACCAATTTGGCCATTTTATGGCTAAAGCACTCTGAAAAGATGGGGGAAACCTGAGACACAGAAGAAGCCCACAAACTCATATGCACAAGCACTTAAGAATCTGCCACCATCCCTACCACCTTCTGACAGAAATCAAGGGACTCTGCTCTGCTTGAAGAAAGGCACAGAGAAAAGATTCTGGAACTGCTTCAGTGCCACATATTTCATCTCATAAACGCACCTCTAAAAAAGCAGGACTAATGGAAACCGAATGCAGCTGGAAGCTCAGGACATCCCTCTCCTATTGAACAGAGGCTCCCCAGCACCTTGGACGTGCACCTCCTCCAGCCTTGCTGCCCAAGAGTAGCCCTGATCTCTGGACTGGTCCTTGATGTATTGTTAGGCAACCCAGAGTGGTGAGAACAAGATGGGTGACCGTGTAAATTGTTTAAAGAAAATAAATAAAAATAAATTTGGGGAAAGGACTCAGGCATTCCAGGAATTTGCAAAGCCGTGCATTCCACATCCCCACCCAAGCTACTGGGGGGGGATCCCAGCAAAAGGGAACAGAGACCCCACCCCACCCCCCTGTTTAATTTCACTGGTGGAGGTATGTGAGAAAAAAGGGTGAGATGGGAAGATTCTGGAAGGGCAGGAGAATGCCAGGAGTTCTTCCAGCTCCCCTAATTCCTTGTGAAGAATTCAGATCCTCCTGCCAATGTTTATCCAAGCTGAGAAGATAAGAGATGCTCCTTTGCAGCAGATAATCAACATCAGGTTGAGATGGAGGCAGCTCTGCTCACTGTCACACCCCACATGCCAGTTGGATGGTTATCTGCACTGGAGACGTTTGGAAGTGTCCGCTAACTCTGCAATCTTCCCTGTAAGATGCAGCCAATTAGCATCTCTTGCCATTGGGTGTTTAGGCATGATTATTCCCTGCTATCCTGGAGACGGTTTATTGATGTAGTTGCTGGGAGTCGACACTGACTTGATGGCACACACAATCAAAATTCCCCAGTGAGCCGTTTAGGGTTTGCTCTCAATAGAATGGCATGCACCAATGTCTGGGACCGTGCCCACATCTCAGCAGCCCAGCTCCAGCCCCCAGCAGGCCAGCCTTTTGGGTGCTTTCCATGTTCTGTAGGGCCCCACAGAAATGGGCTCTGACCTCTTAGATCTCTGGGGCTGAAAAGCAGAGATGATGCTGAGGGCCACGATCCAGCCTGGGGAACTGCCAGTGGCTTCAAGAGCAACTTCAAGAGCCACCATAGCTTTTCCCCATCAGCTAAGCCCAAGCCCTGTAGCAGGTGCCAAACTATCTCCATAGCTGAACTTATGGCAGTTGTTGATTCAAGGGTATCCTCATTAGAAGGCCTGCCCAGGTCCATGCCCTGTTGAAGGAGAAGGAATTGTAAGGACCTGGGAGTGCAGGGGAGGCTGAAGTTGCCAATCAGCCATGGCATTGGACAGTATGAGACCAAGCAGGCATCCAATCCCTGGACAGTCCAGGCTACTGCTGGGAACTTGCAACCCCAGCACAAACAGGGAGGGGAGTCCAAGCCAACACGGACAGTGAGGGAGGTATCCTGGTGATCTGCAGGGATGTGTGATGTTTGTCTTGCTGCCTGAAGGGGAATCAAACTATCTCTGCTGAAAGGGCAAGCTTGTGTCCTTCTTGAAGGAGAAAACGAAGGAGGAGAGTTTTTCCACTGAAACGCATCAGGGAGAACGAGAGTTTCCTGGACGGGACAGGTGAAGCTCCCAGGATGGCAGAAAAGTGAAAAAAACCACAGAGAAGAAAATCCCTTTGGCAGGGACAACACCTGGGAAGGTACAACCCAAGAAGCAGGAGGACCAGGAGGCACCAGTACCAGGCCCTCCCTCCCTCTGGAGAATGACTGACTGACAGCTAGCTGAACACTGTAGAAGTATCTTAGGCCGCCATGGAGGAAAGAAAACCAGCCCTCGGCTGAGAAAGAAGAGGTGTGCCTGCAATGGTATTTTTGGAACTGGAGAGAGTCATTCTCTAGCCAGCTGGACTTTCCCCATTATCAGCGAAGAGAACGGCCTCCTAACCAGTTCACATAGAGCCTCGTGCAACAAAAAGAAAGTCTCTGTCTTGGTAATCTGGGAGATGAACTGAATTCTGAAGGGGAAAAACAATCCAGGTGCTGAGAGCTCTGTAACCTTGGTCTAGGTGGTGCCAATTAAAACCTTAGATGTTTCTACACCTCTGCACAAAGCATAGGAAATAAGCAGGGAGAACTAGAAAACATAATTCAGGAAGGCCAACATGATGTAGTGGGCATCACTAAAACTTGGTGTGAGAGTACTGACGCTTGGCACATAGCACGGGAAGGCTACAACTGATCCAGAAGCAACAGCCCCTGTAGAAAGGGTGGGAGTGTTGCACTGTGCATAAAGAAATAGAAATACTTGCACTTACATTCAGGAATCGGAGCACGGAAACCCTGTTGAAAGCATTTGGTAGGAATAGAAAGAGCGAGAAACAAAAATGATACCGCTGTGGGAGGTTATTACAGACCATCTGGGCAGGCAGAAGACACAGAAGAGGTCTTTCTGCATCAGATGACCAGGCTTTCAGAGAGGCGTGCAAGAGTGATAAGGGGGGATTTCAATCACCCCGACATCTGCTGAGAATCTGACACTGCCAAGCCCAACACCTTCCGGTCCTCTCTTGCTGACAACTTCATTTGTCAGAAAGTGGAAGAAAGAGCAAGGGGAACTGCTATCCTGGACCTAACGCAGGAATAGGTTGAAGAAGTGATGGTAACTGGGACTTGGGGGAAGATGACCATGTTGTCCCTGACTTTGTGATATCTGGAGGAGAAACAACCGAAGAGCAAATGTTGGTGAACTCTAAAGGAAGGTAGGTTGGATCCAATGGTTTCAACTCCTTAAAGAGATACAATGGGAAATCTTGCAAAACGAGATACTGAGCAAACCAAACAAAATGAGCAAGTGATTCCCATGAGGAGGAAAAATGACAGAAATCTACTAAAGAGGCCAGGAAGCACACATGCAGAGCTCTCTAAAATGCTGTAGAAAAAGAGATGTGCAAGAGGAAGAGGAACAAGGCCATCTCCAGAGACTGTAGGAATTCTGTCAGAAAAGCTAAAGCTCAGAAAGAGATGAGGTGCTGAGAGATGCTGACTCAATCCCTGTTGAGGCATACCTAGAGGATGAAACAGCTCAGATTTTTCAAACAGTTCTTCTAAACCTCTGCCACGAGTGTCTGGCGGGAGCCCAGTGGAATTCTTAGAAACACAAGGCAACCCTCTGGTTCTGTCACCCAACCCAGGAAGACTCGTGCCAGGTATTTTCTGTACCGTATGTGCTCTCCTAGATCAGGGGCCCAGCAAAAATTCTGAATGGGAATTGAGCTTGCTAGGCGC